CGCTGTACCCTATAGGATTTCTGAGGGCCCTAATTCTCCTTCTGTTTCAAAGCTAAAAGCAAGAAGGCAGGAAAGAGCTAGTGTTTGTTGGTAAGAGAGAGAAAAATGTATTTTGGAACCAAGTAAATCTCAGCAAGTGAAATGTTTAAAGACACAAATCAGCTGAGAGCAATGCTGTAGCACTGCGTCAGAGACGCAGAGACAGGGCTAATGGATTGAACTGGCTGAACCTGCTCTGCAGCCATTGGTTGTTTCTCAGGAACTGCAGCTGGAGCTGGAGTGGAAGTGTGTGTATAAATGTGCTTTAGTGCCAAACAAGCCCAGCCCACCAGGGGGATTCTATAGGCCTCCCAGACTGTGTTTCCTGGAAGGCCAAGGAGGCAGTGAGGTTAATACAGGATTTAAAAATATAGAATGGGACTGAGCAAATGCACTAATTTAGACAGTGTTGTCTATGATCTTGCTAAATCCTTTGTATTAAGAATTGATATTTTAAATTGGGTTAGCAGCAGCCTTGTTAGAATTCTAGCTCCTTGTGTATCCAGCACAGACAGTCTCCTCACACCCCGGCACAGCTGCGCAGACCGTCTCCTCACACCCCAGCACACCTGCGCAGACTGTCTCCTCACACCCCAGCACACCTGCGCAGACTGTCTCCTCACACCCCAGCACAGCTGCGCAGTCTCCTCACACCCCGGCACAGCTGCGCAGACAGTCTCCTCACACCCCGGCACAGCTGCGCAGACCGTCTCCTCACACCCCGGCACACCTGCGCAAACAGTCTCCTCACACCCTGGCACAGCTGCGCAGACCGTCTCCTCACACCCCAGCACACCTGCGCAGACCGTCTCCTCACACCCCGGCACACCTGCGCAGACCGTCTCCTCACACCCCAGCACAGCTGCCCAGACTGTCTCCTCACACTCCGGCACAGCTGCGCAGACAGTCTCCTCACACTCCGGCACAGCTGCGCAGACCGTCTCCTCACACTTGTCACCATCAACTGTTGTAATTAGTTCCTAAATCATTATAGTAGTATGCAGAACACTTGCTCTTGCAAGTCACGTCAACGAGTGTAGTTTTTATTTAATCAAAACCTTATGATCTTATGATTACTTGCTTAAAGTTTGAAGAGCTTAACAGTCAAATCAGTGTGATTCTGGAAATGGCTCCCACAAAATTCAATTCACGTTTTTTTGGTAAAATATTTCACTGTTTTGGCCCATCCTCTCGAAGTGTGAAAATGTATGAGGAACAGTGGCAGTTTTGGATTTTCAATTTTCTCTTAACTGAACAACAACCGTGTGTTTAGAGTGCAGGCGCGTTTTCAGAACGTCAGGAAACTGAATAGCCACCATGTACCTGTTTATTACTGGAAAGAGAATAAAATAGCAAAGGATATTAAAACTTTTGCAGGAGGGGAAATTACCGCCATTTGTCTCTTTGTACTCCTTTGAATTCCTTGTATCTACTGATGGTGCACTGTTAAGAATATGTATTCTGTGACTTTAATGTCAGAAAAACAATTGTTGCCACGTAGTGGTACTGTAAGACTGTGTTTCTGTATGATCACAAGCTTTGGACCCCCAGCCAGGGGTGCAGAGGAGTGTCGGATGGTTGCTTGGACATTCTGATGAAAAGCTCACTTCTGTGTGTAGTTTGCTTTGGCTTCCTTCATTGTGCAGACTAAGGGATGGGTTTAACCAGGTATTATATTAAAACTTCTGCATATCTTGTGAAATGTTCTTTCATAATTTCAGAAGGATAAATATTGAATTTCAAGATTCAAGGTTTCCCTTTTATAGTCAGAATCTTTTCTCTGTCTGATTTTAAACATGATGCTCTATTGCTTATTTCACTCACTTTCTTCATCTGAGGTGGGCACCCTCTCAGTATTACACACTGAGAGAATGTCTCCAGTTATACGTCAGTCTGGCTTATGGGATCTATCACATGACTGAGGTGAGTAAAAAAGCAGTGTCTAAAACACTGTAACAAACATGTTCCCAGCTTCCCGTAACTAAAGTTTTCTAGAAATGTTTCTGTTTATTTGTTTTTATTCCCTGTCCTGGCTGAGACGCCCGTCCCATCGACGACTGTTTGGCCAGTATGCAGAGCCCCTTAGGGAAATCGTCAGTAACCTGATGACCATGTTTTGTTGGACATTGACATCTAAACTGTGCTGGAGTCTTTTATTCGTAGGGCCTATTGCCAAAAGTTTTGCTTGAGGACTCAGGCAGTTACTAGGTTTCCTTTCATGTATGAGACAAAACACACAAATGTTCAGTGAATCAGACGTTCTCCAGTGGCTTAATACTTCCTCACCAAAGGCTTGTTTTCGGTGGCTGAGATTAACGGAGTCTAATGCTCACTTCCTGCTTTTGCTAGCCTGCCAGCTCTGAATGTGAAAGGTCAGTGAGGATCTGCCCACACTTGACCACCTAGTACCCCTGACTGCTGCCTGACCCAGTCTAGCTTGTACCGTGGCCTCGGTCCTGAGCGTCTGATCACGTCTCGTAGACACGCTTGGCTACTCATACACCCGTCTTAAGTGTCTTTCTCTGATAACTCTTCGTGTTTAATTTCCTGTGCCTTAGCAGGTTTTGAAGGCCAACTCAAAGAACATTTGACATATTCCCCCATTCCTTACTTTGTGTAGTGACAGCAGCTCAATCCAGGGATTAAGCCTTAATCAGTTAATCAGTGTGGACACCCGAAACCGTTTCAGTCTCAATTTACTTAGAGCTTGATTTGCCATATAAACAAGAACATCGTGGCATGTGGACACCTGATGTTGTTCATGTTTCTGTGCCATGCTTTCAGAAAGCTTTTCCAAACCAGTTTGTCTTTCATCGTGTTAAAGAAGTGGATTTGGCCATTGGCAGTGAGGCCTTTCAAACTCCACAGATTTGTGTTCCTGGCGAACACTCAAGGTCATAACCTCCCTCCGGAAAATTCCCTAAACCAAACTTTGGTTTCCAGGACAACAAAATCTCGCTGGTGTTTGAAAGCTACAGGTAAGTTCAGAGTGCAGCTGCTGAAATCATTGTCTGCACCGATTTGGCCCGACTGCAAGCTGATGAAGACTTGGGAGGTCGAGCAAAGAGAATGCAGAAAGACTGGTTTCCTTATAGGCCAGAGCAAAGAGCTGTGCTGGGAGACTGTGGTTTGAAATGGTGCCCAGCAAAACAAAGAGAGAGGAGCTATCCTGTCCTTGGATTTGGATCGGGCCCTTAGATTAACACGCAGGTGTCGGGGGGAATCTGCAGTGTCCTTGTCCTTAGAAGGGTCACAGGACCTGCAACGTGAACCTACTGGAGACTCTAGTTTTGAGGGCACCTGTAACAGATCTACTGCAGGAACATGTCGCCCGTCTCCTCTGCCACACGGTTCACACACAAGTGCGATTCTGGAGGAGGATTGTGCTTTAGTGAACCTGTTAAGTCGCCTCCACAAAAACCTTTTTGGAGGTCTTCTTTCTGTATCATAAATTCCTGAACCTCAATGCACAATGTAGGCAATTTCCTTCCTACAAATTAATCTTCTCCTGCTGTGTTTAAGAACTATTTCTGATTATGTTAGCTGATATCCTTACCTCTCTTTTTTTTCTCAGTTTCCAGGCCTGAATACTTTTTCCAGATTGTCGAAACAGTGAAACCTAGAAGTGGTGTTTGTTCGCGGTGGTAATTTTACATTTAAACATAGACTCTGTGTCTTGTTCCCTGTTTGGTCACACAGAGCCCACAGCTTGCTCACTGGTTTTCTGATTTCGTCTGAAAGCTGTAGAGCTGCATGTTGCAGGGGTGACAAAGAACCCACTGGCATCATTACTTCATTCAGCCAGGATCGTAACAGGCATGTGAAATGGGGAAGAAATGACTTTAGAACCACATGGGCAGGCTTCAGTCATGTCTTGTTCATTGATGTTAACTGTCAAAAGACCTGGGGCACTGCTGAGGGGGTCACAAGAACTTAGAGGTCACAAGAGCACCTGTAGTGAGAGCAGGTAACACATTGTCAAAAACAAAACCATGTCTTGAATCTTTTTCAAAAGATGATAGTCTACACAGAATAACTCAGTTATATAATTTGATCTTCAGATTTAATCTTGTAAGAAATATTTCCATTGTGATTATTAACAGCAAAAATGCTATTGAAAGGCATGACATTAATTTTGGTCCAAAATAATCCAATAGGACAGTGTATTATAGATGAGCATTACATATGTAACATCACTATTCAGGGCACATTAGATGAGCTTGACCTAAGGATGGTTTTCCCTGCATGTATCTGGCTGTGGGAAATTGCAAGCCCCTTTCTTAATGTCGCAGGAAAAGACAAAATACAAACCCCTCCCAACAGTCTTCACTGGTGACCACTGCTAATTCATATTAATTTAGAACAAGTGTGAGTTCTATTAAGTCTTTTTTTTCCAAACTGTTGATGGCCTCTTTTTGAAGGCGGTAGGTGATTGTTAGTGTCTACTGCAGTGTGCTGTCTGCCTTCCCCTCAGCAGAGTCTCAGGTGCAGAGGCAGCACAGTGTCGCTGCTGCTCTGGTTTACACACGCAGTGTGTCTGCCTTTCAGAGCCCCGCATCAACTCCTCGGATGATGTTACCCTGCCCACGGACGGCCACCACAGCCCCCCGTTCACCCTCCAGTGTAACCTGACCAACGCCCACAACACCCACGACGAGAGCTTCTGGATGAAGAATGGCGTGGAGATCTCTGGGACGCGGGGGAAACTCATGAACACGGAGTACAAGTAAGAGTGTGGGCAGCCGGCGGCCTCCTCCGTGGGCTTTCCACGTTGAGCAAAATCTTCAGCGTCGCTGAGTGTAGCCAGGGAACATGAAAAATCACAATACATTCTGACACGTAGGGCAGAAAAAGCAGCGAAACCTGGAGGACAAAGTTGCAAAAGATGAACATCAACAAATGCAAGGGAAGGTTGTTCATTTTCTTCAGGTTCTCCCACGCCAAGATCATCAGGGAAGCTGTTTCCTCCTGTGCAGGGTGCCGTTCACTTCTGGCCCCTTCAGTGTCGTATGAGGACCAGTGTTGCAGGTTCAGGTTTGGCCTCTGGCAGTAGCGGATTATGGTTTCCAGTGCAGGAGCCTGCAGTGGACTGGACCACAGTGGGGTTGATGACATTGTGCTTGGTTTGACACACAGTGGTTTGTGCTATGGTTTGCTGAATGCTTGTCAGTGAGAGCTGCACTGCTCCTCCGGTCAGAGCCCCTATGAGCCTTGCTGAGAGAAGCACACACAGGCCTGGCCACCTCCACGCTGGCACGAAGGTCACAGGGCTGCACCAGCGATGCTTGACTCGCTAATCTCAAGGCAACAAGAAAAATGACCGAAGAGTCAAAATTAGCAGAGGAACCAAGTGCAGTTCTGACCAGCTCTGAAATACACACATCTTTAAAACTGGTCAGCGTCGTCCCGTACTTGACATTATTGTCCTTCCTTGGCTGGATAACTGAGTATTAATTAGAAAGGTCTTTTCCGAGACTGAAGAGGCTCTGTGGAGAAGCCGTGAATCTCTGCACGCTGCTGTGCTCTGATGGAGAGCAGAAGCCCTGAAGATGCTCCACAGCGAGTTGATGAGAAGGTTTTTGTTAGAGCTGGTCACAGTGCATTGTGGGTGATCCACTAGCGCCAGACCTGCTAGGACGGGCAGAGACCAGCCCTGTCCAGAGCTACCGCAGTGCTGGAACCTCCTCTTGACTTCACAGTGTGTGCATGACATAGCGCTTCTATGCCTCGGTAGTTTGGATTTTTGGGGGAATGGTTTCTTATTTTCTACACAATTTAGAAACCAATTATCTCATTCTTTTTCATTTTAGGGTTTAGGCTTTTGTCTTATCCCAGCTTCTTATGGGCTGCTGATCAGGTAGAAAGGGAGCTAGGCGACAGGACTGAAGGACGTTGGCTCTGGTTTGTTGCCCAGATCTGTCTCCTACAGTGTTATACTGGGGATAATACACTCTGCTGCTTGTACTGTGTCTTGCACTCCAGTGCTGAGTATGAGCTCCCTGTGCTGCCAGACTTCTGTCAGCAGGGCCCTGCTTGTGGAAACTCTCCAGGCTCCTCGGTAACTTCAGGCGTTTGGTTTTCTTGCTCAGGTTGGTGAAGCCGAGGGCGGATGATGCTGCCGAGTACATGTGTGTCTACACCTTCCAGTCGGCCCCCCCAGCCAACGCCACCATCTACGTCAACGGTAAGAGGGTGTCTGGGACGCACATACAGGCAGGGACATGGCTTCTGGCCAGTTCAGGAACCGCTTGACATCGGGATGATGCCTGAATAGATCACTGCACAAGTGTGAGGTGTATATATATGATACAGCTCACCTAAGCCACATTCGTACTCCTACGTAAATAAAACATTACTGCACCAACGCAAATGTAGTTGCCATAGTTTCCTGCTTACTGTACTATCATTTGCTCCGCTGATGGACTTTGCCAAGCTGACAAGCTGTTGTTCTGAAAGAAGCCTCCGGCAGAAGCCCTTGATTTTAGTGGAATATCCTGGAAGTCCTTGGGTTCTCCTGGAGGAGAACAGATGGTGAGATAGTGGGATAGTCAGTGCTGTTGAGACCTTGCCTCCTATCTGCTCTTCAGCAGGTCCAGCCAACTTTAACAGTGCAGTTCTCTCTGACATCAGTAGCGAGTATCACTGGCTTTCACGCTTGTTCATCAGAAATATTGTGAAAGAACTGTAGCCAAGATACAGTATTACAGAAGCCCCACAAACCTGAACAAACAAAATCCTACACTCCAGCTGTTTCTCTGTACTCTTGGCTGTAGCTTGTGGATGGCAGTTATAGTTTTCTCCTCTACAGCTATTTAAACATAAAACAGGTTTTATGTTTGTCACAGTTTAAGGGATATTTGAGTTTCACACAAAATCTGGCTTCCGTCAGCTTCACAGCACAGAAACTGTCCTGATCAAAGTCACTAACGATCTTCTAATAGCTTCTGATTCTGGCTCTCTTTCTATACTCATCCTTCTTGATCTCAGTGCTGCTTTTGACACTGTTAACATCTTTCTTTCTCGTCTTGAGCCTGTGTTTGGAGTTTCAAACGCTGCTCTCAAATGGTTCAAGTCTTGCCTCACTGACACTTTGTCTCTCTTAATGGGTACAGGTCTGAAATTGGTCTGGTTAAGTTTGGTGTTCCTCATAGCTCAATACTGGGTCCCTTGTTCTTTAGCATTTACATGTTCCCTCTTGATCAGCTTTTAAGATCACATGGCCTCAGCTATCATTTCTATGCTGAAGATACTCAAATATACATCCATACCAAACCTGACACTGATGTGGCTGTCTCTATTCTATCTAATTGCATCTCTGACATAAACATTTGGATGACTCAAGATTTCCTTCATCTTAACTGCAACAAGACTGAAGTCATGCTTATTAGCACCCCCATCAACTTCCTAAAGCCAGTCCTGTTACCCTATCTGTAGATGGTTCTGTACTTGAGCTTCAATCTGAATTGAAAAACCTTGGGGTTATATTCGATTCTGGCTTAACATTCGACCCACATGGGCAGCATATTATCAAAACATATTATTTTCACCTCAGAAATATCGCTAGACTACACCCTATGCTATCACTAACTGTGGCTGAAAAGCTGATCAACACATTTGTGTTCTCTCGAATTGACTACTGTAGTGCTCTACTCGCTGGGGTATCTAAATCTACTTTGAACAAACTGCAGTATGTCCAAAATTCAGCAGCCAGAATCCTGACCAGGTCTAGTGCAAATGATGACATTACTCCTATCCTGGAGTCTTTGCACTGGCTTCCGGTCAAATTCCGTGTGGACTTTCTCATGCTCACCTATAAGGCTCTGCATGGCTTGGCACCTCAGTACCTGTCTGAACTATTATCGCCCTACTCCCCATCTCGCAACCTTCACTCTTGCCTTGTAAATTACTGTGTTCAACCCTAGAAAGTTGAGAACCGGCAGTGTGCAGACCAGAGCCATGCTCTTTTGTTAAGCTTAAACTGATCTCAGTCTTCTGCATTGTGAGTCTAATGGTGATCATTCCACCACAGCTGCCTTGAGTGAGACAATGTGTCATTTGTGCTGTGCTACTTGTGTACAGTACATTTCCACAGTGCATCCTTTCAGATTTGAGCCGTAGTTTTCCTTGTTTCTCCAGAACTGGTCTGGACCTCTGCTGCATTCAGTCCCCCCTCTCCTCCTGGCCCAGTAGCTTTGTTCCAAGTGTCCCTTTGGGCAGATTTTCCATTCGGCTGTGTCCCTGCTGAAAGGCAGCCGTCAGAGAATGTTCTCCCATGCTGCTTTTCCTGGAACACGGACATGCTTGACAGTGTTGGCATTTGAAAATTCTCAATGACCCGATTTTCCTCTTAATTAGATTTATGCATTTTTATAGCAAAAACAAAACAACCTTTCTTAATATTAGTCAGCTAATGTCATGTCTGTACAGTTTAGTAAGGCAGCAGAATAGCACATGAGACACTTTTGTGTTTCTTGGCTGGATGATTGAACAGTACCATTGTTTGAAATTGTTTGTCTAGTTTATTGAAAAGAACTGTATATTGTAAAAAGTACATTGGTGTTTTCAATGTCGGTATCCAGCCGTTGAGGTGACCTTAATATGGTCTATGTCGTTCATTAACACAATGCCTTTCGAAAAGGCAGAGAACAGTGCTGCTACACAAATGTTTAGTGGTTTATTGGTAAGCATGGAGAACTGGTTGTAGTGGTTTTTCCATTCCTACTTTCTACAGTGCTCAAAAGGTCTGTTCAGGCTCCTCTGTAATCCACTTTAATTAGAAGAAATTACTGTAATTTTGCAGATTAGAAGGGGCCTATAGCTTCTATCTTCTCTGTGAAGCCAAGATTGTAATTTTAAGGCTGATGTGAGTTTTCCTTTAGACAGAGCTTTCTCTTTCCGCAAAACATGCACATTTCTCATGAGTAAGGTGATGATTCCAAGTATAAAGAACATTGAAAAGATGAGAAAGGGGGGAGTCTTTAGACTCAAGTTGCTCATTTGTTACCACTCGTTTTCATGATCCATGAATTCTGTTGGACTACAGTATCTCTTCATTGATCCTACAGAGTCTTCTCCCATCATGAGTCTAGGAAGTCTGATGTATGCTGCACCCTCACTCTGTATACAGCGGTGTCTCTGTCGTTGGTCCTGAGTGCTGCTAAAATTAATTTCTGCTCGGGTTCCTGGGTCCCGGTTCTAAAGACTCCCCTGGATTACATGCTTTGAGTTCTGTAGCTGAAAAGAGAAGGGCTGAAATGCATCCCTGTAATTAAAAAAAAGTGTTTAGCTCCTTTCAAAAGTTGATGAAGGGTCAAGACAAGGAATTAAATTGAGACTTAGACCAGTTTAATGATTGTAAATTTGATAACTCCACGAGAAAAGCAGTCATAAAGATGAGATCAAGAATGCACTGCCACGTGTCTCCTGTCTTCCAGCTCACATCCTCTTGTTCAAATCCAGTAAACTCCTTAGACATGAAGGCAGACGAACGGTTATTTTGCACATTGAGATTAGATGTATAGAAGGAAGACCAATGGACTAGGATGGAAACCCATGTCATTGCAAACATTTATGAAGTCTAAAGGCCAGTGTCTGAGTCTACTTAACATTTTCCACCAGGTTGTGATGACTAAAGAGCAACATTGATTATTGCAATTTAATTCCACAATGAGTTTGAATAGGGAAAATAATATAAAATGTGACCAGTGCTTTCTTTATCATCCACCTCATAGTGTGGTTACGGGTGCAGGAGACTAGTTGTAAAACGGCACTCTGTGAAGACTAGTGATATTGCGCCCTCTAGTGGCGTGTTTAAAGTTGGACATTCTGATGCTGCAACTTGTTTGCTATGGTATTAACACATTGACAACAATGCTTTAATATCAGGAGTTAAGCTCTTCTGTCAGTAAAATTCCAATTTAATGTTTGCCCTTATGGCAGATCCCTGAAGGTATTGAAGGTACACAGCATCCTGTAATATATTGATTTTTCCCAAATACTATATTTTTAAATATATTTCTATAATGTATATACTTATTCATTATTTCTTTTTTGTAAAGTGAACATATAACAATGAAATAATTTATGCACTGTTTATACAAAAATATAAAACTGTTTAAATCACACTGTTAAAGGGAAAAACACACACCGTCTTGTATTCGTAGAGAAATGTTGGTGCCCTTTATCTAAGTATTACATGAGTGTTAAGTCACCCTGGTGCTGTGAGAGACACTGGGTGATAAAGCCACCAACAAATTCTCCCCCGATGTCACAAGAGCCGAAGCTGCAGGAGGTTCAGAAAGCCTGGATGTTCTGCAGGTGCTCTTTAACTGAAACGTGTCTCTGGTTGTGTGTCACAGCTTCCCCAGACATCACAGGCCACAAGCGCAGTGAGAACAAGAATGAGGGCCAGAGTGCCATGCTGTACTGCAAGTCTGTGGGCTACCCCCACCCCGTCTGGACCTGGAGCAAGCTGGAGGGGAAGGCGTTTGTGGTACGTACCCCCGACGGGCCCGCTGTGCGCCCGTGGGTCGGCATTTGGCACAGAATGTAATTTTCTTACTCTGCCCTATAATGCAGTGATTGCCTTTATGACAGTGACAGATGTGTGGGTTAGATCAGCTTTCTGTGTCTTTGGTAGAAGCTCGGTGAAGTTGGCATCCTTACCAGCAGCACAAATGATGAAACCTACCACATTCGTTAGTGGTCATTTAGTGCCGGTTTGAGCCGTTGAATGTAGGGCTCGAGGTGCTTTCATTCCCGAGATATAGCACTTTTATTTTTCAGGGTGTGACGTCACTCAGCCCCCCTACAAAGGTGGCAAGAGTCATGTGACTCCCCGAAAAAAGAAGGCGCTGTATCTCGGTAAGGAAAGCACCTCAGACGCTACTTTCAGCAGCACAATCGAACGGTTCAGTTCTTCTGCACCATTCCAGGAAAGGGATGAGTAAACGACAATGACGTAAACCAGCACAAACGATTGGGCGCTGTTTCCACTGTCTGTACGGGAGCAACGTCACGCTGCTTTTGGTAGAGTTGCCAGCAGCTGTCATGAGAACTGATTCCCCTCTCTTCGTAATTTAAGTGTTTGTGGGATGATTTGTTAAGCTGCTACTAAAGGCTTTGTGAGTAGCTAGGACATGTTAATAGCCCTTAAACCTTTGCCATTGTACTGTTTGGCTCTTGTGTAAAAAGATCCTTCAATGAATAGAAGATGATCGAGAGACGGGCACCAGTGTCCGATGAGACGCCCGGCGTCTGTAGCACTGCAGGAGTAACCGGGCTTGTGTTGGTAGAGACACATTCGAGAGGCAGGGAGTGATCCTGTCCTCATTCTCTGTCCTTCAACTTCAAACCACTTCGGACTGGGCTCACTTTCTCACCCGTTTAAAATTTCTTTCTGGAAGGACATTGACAACTCCTCAGGCCGCTTCTTCATTACCAACAAGGACAATTACACGGAGCTGACCATCCTGAAGCTGCAGATCGACTCCGATCCTGGCGAGTACCAGTGCAACGCCACCAACTTCATCGGCACCTCGTCCATCACCACCATCCTGCGCGTGCGCAGCCACCTGGCACCCCTGTGGCCCTTCCTGGGTGTGCTGGCAGAGATCATCATCCTGGTGGTCATCATCGTGGTGTACGAGAAGCGCAAGAGGCCGGACGAGGTGCCCGATGGTAAGGACTCGATCGCCAGAGGGCTCAGAACAGATCCGCCTGCTCCGCTCTTTCTCTGCTGAGAAACCAGTCAAAATAATTAGATAGAAGCTCAGCAGTGTGTCCAAGTGGCTTTGGCGCCACTCAAAACTTTGCTTAATGAAATATAAAATGAATGAATAATGAAAAATATAACTGTTGTTTAGGCCTGAGAACATTTTGAAGTAACTGTACCTGGAGTCAAGGGCACCTTTTAATTCATCAACTTTGACCGCTGTTGAAAAATGCCAGGCTTATTAAATGATCTTGAAAAGGCTGGAATGAAAACAGCAGCTGTCCTCTTCTCAGGGAGTGTACCTATTCCTATAAACAAAGCCAATTGAAATACATATCTTCGCCTCGGCGATCTCCATAGACACCATAGACACGCTAGGAACGCTCGAAGATCTTGTCAACACAGGGTGCAGTTGGCACAAATGTCTCTTCGAGGGGGTCAGTTAATCTGGGGGTGATTGTCAGGAGTGCCGTCAGTGCGCAGTGTCGCAGTTCCTTGCTCCGCCCTGCAGGGGCCCTCAGCGGCTTTCACACTCATCCTTGGGCACTCCGCGCCGCGCCCTGAGCGCCTCGTCCGCGGCATGCCGACTCGCTGTCCCTCCGATGGGCTCTGGTGCACTTTCCCCTCTCAGAGCCTCAGTCACAGAGGCAGTGGTTCGGCAGCACGCTCCTGTCGCCTCAAAGAGCATCTGGTCACTAGGGTCACTCTTTCAGCTTCACAGTGCTGCTGTGACTTTGTATCCATTCCTGCAGACGTGAAATGTAAGGCAGCACCATTTAATGGGCAAAATCAGTTCACTTTGGCCAACAGTACTCATGTGTAGTAGTAATGTGCAGCGAGAGCACTGGAAGGTCTGCCAAGTGAATTAAGGAAGAGTCCATAAGCTTGCAAGTGCAGCATTGTCACTAACTGCAGGTTAACAAGGAAGGGTTAATTTACTGAGCACTGCAGGTCTTTTAAAGAAATTTACAGTGCACAGTTTATGGTCACTGAGGGAACCGGCTTGAGTTACTCACACATCGTCTCAACTTGGGAGGTATTTACCTGTTGCTTGAAAGATTAATTGTATGGTTATTGAGTATATTGTATTGAACACCAGGGGCATTTTGTCTGTTGTGCGAAAACAGTGTTCTCATAAAATCGTATTATGTTAAGTCCAGTTCTAAAGGAAGACGAGAATTACTCTTTCAGAAGCTAAACCTAATGAGATACTAATGAGATAATTAACATTCTGCTTGCACAATATAAGTACTTTTCTTCAAAATTCCAAAAGTGAAGTTATTTCATATGTCTTCATTATAATAAGAAGAGCTTTCATTATCTTAATATGTATGTTTTTTTTTACACAGCAGTCATTTAACGGCCAGGATACGTCAGTAATCTGTTGTGCCAGCTCTGAGTCTTTCTGTGAAACAGGCCTGTCCTGTTTTAAGATACAAGAGCTGGCTGAGGCTAGTGAATGCCAGGTCGTATCTGAGTGACGTTTTCTGGGCCAGAGCCGCCCGTCAGGGCTGTGAAGAGCTCCTTCCTGCTGCTGGGCATCATGGGAGGCCTTGCTGTGGGACTCCTGCTAGCTAGCATGAACCGCACACCCAGTGTCTCTGAGAGAAATACACCTTAAGAGAAATAATTCAAACTAGATTTTACTCTCCCCCAGAGAGAAATCTAGCATAACTGGTCCAAACAGAAGCATCTTTCCTCTTCTTATTCAACACAGGAAGCGCCTCTGTGTAAACTCTGTGCAGGGAAAGATGTGATGACAGAGGCTTGTTCAGTAACTCCCAGTCTCTCAAGTGCTCTTAGAGACTTCATCCTTTGTACAGAGGCAGGAGAGCCACCTAGGGAGAGCAGAGACATGCTTTCAAAAAAACGTGTATTGCCCGAGTTTTGATTTGTTGAACTTTTCAAACCAGAAGCATACCTTACCTTAGCCCTCATTAAGGAAATTTAAAAATCAAAGCCAAATGTTTCTATGCCTCAGAACAGATCTCTACCATTGAAATGCAGAAGTGTGTGAAAATGTTTTGTTTTTGACTCTTAAATATACAGTAGACTCACATTTTATGTGGTAGTAAGGTGTAAATCCAAAATTGTGAGGAATCAGAACACCCCCTTGGACCCTCCTATACCCTTCCTTAAACTAGTGAAATCAGTTATAAGTGTCTTAGTATATGTATGCATGTAGTTTAAATAATTATGAAAACAGTAATATAGCAAGCACAGCACTTTACAGCATACAAAAGAGATCAAATGAAATGTCTTAATAAGATGCAGGGAACACTGCCTTAATCTCCTAGTGATGACAGTGATGATGAATATGAAAGGAGTGTGCAGCTGATGGCGATGAAGATGATGACGATGATGAAGAAGCCGCTGCACACTTGACTTTTGCCTCTATTCAGAGTTTCTCTCCAATGAGACAGCTGGAGAGAGGTCACTGGGGTTGGAGTCACTAGGAGATGGAGAAGGCCATGCATGCTACAGACCCTGTAACTAGTTCCCAAAGCTTAGCTCAGATGCATGCCGTGCCAGTTTGGAATTTGTCAAATTTCCCACATTTTTTTATTTTACATTTATTTTTTTGTCATTGACTGTGTAAGCACAAATTTGTGTAGAAATATTTCATGTAAAACGTGAGTCTACTGTATCTGATGTGCTGCTGCACAGAAAGCAGCTGTCGCAGATCTGAAATCAACCTTTGTTTCCAGAATCTAGCTGTCGTGCAAATGATGTCAACTGCTCAGGGGTCACAGCCTTGTGCATCACAGATTCGATATTAAGATTCATTACAGGCCCTTCCCACCCCCCTTCCCCCCCCCCTCCCCCCTCGACTGGGGTAAGTAGATCACAAGAAAGTAAACTCCTGGTGCTGTATTCGCAAAACGTGTGCTTCTAGAAGTGTGCTGATGGGCCAGTTAGTGTCTTTCCACTGGGCAGAGTGCAAGTCAAACGTTTAAAGTCGAGCCCCCTGCTGCCTTTCTGTGTGTTGCCGCTGGCGACTGGAGAATCCTAACCTGAGCTACTTGTCACGGCTGTGGTAGTATCCGCCGCTGGGAGACATTCCAGGTAAACTGTCAGCACACATTTATTTCTAAGCTTCCCAACCTGTTAAATGATAAAGTAACACATTTGATGGTATTACGATTTAATATAGAGATTTAACTAATCCTCCATGTTTCTTATGAAGAATGTTTTTAGTTTTGGCACATTTCTGAAATCACATTAAGGTCTATTCATTTGCTTTTTGCAGAGGCAGACATAGACAGCTCTGAGCCCTGCTTTCTCAGATACGGTATCACTCTTTTCATCATTTGAAACTGGCTGCTTAATAAGATGGTAGCAATATCATTTCTATGTCACTGAGTCAGTGTAGTTGTGGGATAAATCACTACTGATAGTAACTGATTGAGAAAGTGCTTGGCTACTTTTCAGACAATATCCCTCCAGTGGAGCAAAAAACTGAGCCCAAACTCGTCCCTCTCTACCATAGAAATGCTGACATTGAGTATATGAACTCACTAGTCATCAGTATCAGTGATTTGAATTCTTATATTTGCAAAACCGCGGTCTTCCCATACATGGAAACTTGGAAAGGGAAAGAAATCTTCACACGTACAATTTTCCTACTTTTTTTGTCAGTCACATGTTACATATCACTCCAACATGTGAATGGATGTTCATTCTTTTTACAACTACTGACACACATTTATTTCCTCGCTATATTACCTTCGCCTTATCTTGTCACTCTTCAAAGTGTCACTGTTCCTCTTCGAAGCAGATGAATGGCCCTGATGAATGTTTTGGAATACAGACAGTACAGCACACATACCCCAGCTGGCATTGGGGCTGCTTGTGCCTTTTACTTTCTTTGTTGAAGTAATAACATTGTTTTAACTTACGGAAAGTGTTTTTATCTGTTGAGTCAGTGCTCGCCCTTACCATTTTACTGGACTGAACAGCAATCACTCGTCATGCTTTTTCATTCCTCACATTCCCTAGAAAATCCCTTCTTGGTTTGTCAATGTCTTCCCCGGTTTCTCTCATCCCATAACAAGACCCTTTCAGTTTCTGCACTTCATTCTTTTCTCTTCCGTTTCTGTAACCTTCCTCTCTTTCATAGAGTCTTTTAAATATTTATTCCCCTGAATTTTGAAAAAGAGACATACGCTGACTTTTTTAGTTTTAAGAGGCGAGATTTACAAAGGATTAGTACTTGGTGCTGTAATAACTTAAGAAGTACGTATTGAAACTTGCGCCTTCAAATCGCACTCTGAAGAAACAACAGATTGTTCAGTCTCAATTTATTTGAGTGCTGTACACTTCTGTCTGACAGGTTTCAGGGGCTCCAGTGGTTCGTACAACTAACCCTATTCACAGGGAGAAGTCCAGGTGCTGCTGGTTAGAGCCTGGGCTGTGTAACTGGGACAGGGCTCCCCCGGCAGCTGAACCCCCCACGTGGTCCTGCGTGGTGACCCTTGGCTTTCCCAGCCGTTCCTGTGACCCGCTGGGCGCCAGTGAGCCTCAGAGCTGGCTCTGACAGGGGCTGTGTGCCCTCCCTCTGCAGTACATGGGTTACAGGGGAAAGCCAGTGTGCTTCACAGGTCAGGACTCCAAACTGAGCGACAAAAAAAGATAGAAAATGTTTGGCAAGTTCAAAGTTTAATTACAAAGGTATTTTTCGGGAGTTCCTTCCCAGCTCTCACAGTGCCACCTGCTGTACACTGATAGTAGACTATCAGACTACAGTACAAGGCCTGAAATCCCACAGCTGAAAACCTGATTAAGGCCTCATTCACAATTGGGGCTGTAGCTCCAGAGGTTTCCTAGCTTTATTTCACACTTCTTTCAGGTGTGCATTTTGCGGTATGGTTTCACTTTCAAGAGTTGACATTTTATTCCAGCATTTTGCATCATATACTTTTCAGTAAGTTAAATGTATGGTTTTAAGGTCATACATTACAAGGTT